ACCTAGAGCCTGAGCATCTCCGAGGATGAGAGCCCTGGAAGCGATTAGCGTTGTCGGAAGCTTGGTGGTGCTCAATAAGCCGAGGTGGAGGCTTTGCCAGGTGCTGCTGTGAAACTCATGATCTTCACAGACTAGAGCCACCATTGGCTGCAGCGGCTAAGTCGTGAGGTGTTACGTAGGCGTGTCCAAACTGTCGGCACAGGGAAGACGCAATTGCCAATAATTGCCCAGGCATGGGCTCGTCAGTGAACCCGGTGCACCGGTTCGCTCAATCGCCAAGACCGAAAACATCAGCCCAAGGAAAAAAGACCTACCTTTATCTGCCGCCGGTCACAAACGATGGTTCCCAGGGCGCAACAACCAGACGGTTCCACAACTATCGCTACTGCCCATCCGGGTACGAACGGAGATCAACAGTCAGTGCTATCGTCCTAAAGATAATCAGGCAGGGTATAGAAATAGACCGGATAAGAGCGTGACAGCACTTCAATACAAGGGGACTTTCCCCGTGCAGCACTGCCCTTCCCCCGCCCGCAATCATCGCCTTGAACCCCTACTTGAAGACTTCGAGTGACCCTTATTTCGTAGATCTTCTGGGGGACGTGCTCGCAGGGCCGCGGCCTGCGGACTTGTGGCACACTACCGCCCGTGGCTCCAGAGCCCCCACTTCCATAGCGCCTGCATTATGATTGTACACTAATGTGACGAGAAATATGCCAGTCCAAGGTTACACTGGGATGAGTGGAAACACGAGGGGATCCTCAATTCCGCGTAAAACGTGATGCATTTGTCGCTTTGCGATAGGAGCCTTTCAGGTGTCAAAGACTGCTGATTTAGAGTTGCTTGAGAGAACGAGAGGAAGCTGATCGAGATCTAATACTGACTTTCAAAGTGGTAGCGCTGTGTGAAACTCTTTGGGGATTTCAGACGGAGCTGTCCGGCTCGATGAGCTTGAATCACGGTGACGCACCTCGGCTCAAGTTCAGCGACGAACTGGTGAAGAGCAGCTTGCGAAGAAGATTGGAAAATCTGAAACCCCAAACACATTCATCTTTGGCCATTGAATCACCCAATACTGACCATCAAGCTATTACAAGTAGAAGGTGCGTGCGAACCACGGCACGGTTACCTCAGAGTCCGACAAAAGTTCTACCAAGACCTTAATTTGACGAGGGAAACAACGACGGTTCTAGAATTAGTGGCGTTGGTCATCATTCCCCATGGGAATTGAGTTTGAGGACGAGCAGCAGCTACAGACATGGGCCGCAATAATGCCACAAGAAGAACGGGGATTCATGTAGGGATTGTGCTCTTTGGCAAAAGCCCACTGCACTCTGCTGTCAAAAGTCTAATTCGCCGAAAGAAGGGCCCGCAGGACACGACGCCAATGTGCCAAGCCGGAGCCGAGTCAAAGACAAGACCTTTGACGGAAAAGCCAAGTTCGAAAAAGCTGGAGCTCAGGAGCCGAGATCCTTGGGTATAGCAAAACATCCACAAAGTCACTCGCACCTTCATTAAGGGGAATTCCTTGGTTGAGCCTCATCAGCCCCGACAATGAGCACTTATGGCTTCAGCCGCTTCATCCAGTCCAGTTGACAGGTGCTTCCGGTTGCAAAATGCGAGGGATCATAGAGGCCTGAGCAGCGTGGATGGCCGATTATCACTAGTAAATCTCGATTATCGGGTATTTGTGCTCGTTTCAATGTCCTCTCCAATTATACGTAACCAGGTACAGCGAGCATGTTATGTTTTTTTTCAACTTTACCCGGACACGCCTTATAACCCGATTAAGTGACAGGGTGGTAGTTTACCTTGTGCCTTACTGGGATCCGCGATGAGGCCTCTGACTGGTCCATTTTGATCTGAAACTTGCCCGCCGGACTCAATAATAGGTAGTAGCTTGTTGGACACCTCCTCCTCCACACGTTCGAGCGAGAATGCTGAGTGCCACAGGTGGGCGGTACCGCTGTCGCGGCGTTGGGGACTAGGCACATCAGCTGAGAACTCTAAAAAGAGAATCAACCCCTCTTTCTACACTGATTCATTTGGTCCTGCCGACACGAAGCTCTGGCCCCAATTGGTCCCACAGTAGCGGAACACTCGGACAATTAGGTTCGACAGGACGGAACACCGGGAACTCACTTGAGAGGAGAAAGACTGGGCGAATGGCTCTCTCCCCGTTGTCACTGGTTCCCTAATTGAGAAGTCAGCCCAGTCGATCCTACACCCGCCACACCCTCGGGGGGTCTGGTTCCAACATGTCGGCACCTTCCATAATACAACGGGGCACCCTATATCAGCCTTGCTCATTATAGCTCATTACAGAGGAAACGGAATTGGCCCGACCCAAGACGGAGTACTCCAGTTGTCCGGGGGCGGGGTCTAGACTTACGGGTGCTTGTGGGCACCATAATGCTTCTTGATGCTTGGCAGATATTCTCGCGAAGAGAGTCCGTGAGAAGAGCTTCATGATGCTTCGTTTGGGAGGCTGGAAATAAACAACCCCGCGAGGACCTGAGCACTTGTCAGTTGGATACAATCTCGATCTCCTCGATCGTCCAAAACGCTGGGTTATCTATTAAATTGCTACCGGCTTCAGTGATGGCTTTTGGCAAAGGCTATCGCCCCGCTGGCTTCCGACGTCTCGCAAACTTACGTCTAACTAACTTTCCATCCGAGCAAGGACTTGACTCGAGACGAAGACCTCCGTCGCGATGCAGTATTAGGGAGATACTCTACTTAAGCTCGGTATACTCGCCAACTTCAGCAGAAGACTAAATGTGTAATGACGATGAACTCGCGTTCTCTGCTTCTTTAGCTCTGTCCTTTCCCTATCTAAGCTCATCATACACACCCGTTCTTGCCTGTTAAAGAGACATTAAGCATCTGCGGTTCACAACTTACTTTCTCGTCTTGGACATCCATATATCTCCAAGAACTGCCGGCCAAGACTTCTCTGCTTGGGAGACAACCATTAAGCTTAGTGTGCAGCCTTAATTCAAGAAGACCGGATCTTCATTCCTAAGCTTGTTGCACAAGGAAATGTCGACGCAAGCACCCAGAGAAGATATCTCCCTTGTTTTTAACCGCAAGAGAAGAAAGGTCCGCAAGTCCTGCAACGCCTGCAGCTCTCAAAAGATTCGTTGCGGTAAACAGCGCCCAAAATGCCAACGCTGCGAGACAAAGGGTCTCGAGTGTGCTTACAGCATGTCAATGCGGACTGGTGAGCGCCCTCGCGTTCTCGCCTCGCCAAGCTCGTTGTCGGATACCCAGGCAACGATATCACTTGTCATGAGAGATGGCCCAGCCCTGGCCATGTCCAATGCCTCGACCGTTTCTCAGATCTCACAACAGCAGCAGCAACAAGAACGCCGTATGTCAGAGCAGCCTTCGGAACACCACACCGACCTCCAGGATGAGATGATGTGGCTGCTGGAAGGCACCTCAGATTCTGACAATCTCTTGGACCAGAGTCTTTGCTTTGACGCCACTGCGGACTTTGGGGTTCCAATGACTCTGAACGACTTGTCTGCTGCTTCGACAAAACACTCATCTGCGGCGATGCCGACTCCTATGACACAGGAATACGACAGAACTTCCTTTTTCGACCAGCCTGTGGATCACAAAATGCAACAGTCCATGGATGCATCAATGAGACGTTCCGGCACAGTCGACTCAGCTCGCAGCAGCTCCAGCACGTACTCAGACGACGGTCTCTCTCGTCACAGCAAGATCCACGACTGCACCATGGAGGTCCTGGAAATTGTCTCCGACTTTCATGTCCTCGCGCAAGGTTGCCTCACTGCCGTCAAGGACCCAACGTGCACGTCCCATCTTGAGCGCCTTCTCGACGACACCCCCCGCGAGATGGGCACCGTCTTATCGCACAACCGGGAAATCCTCCGCAGGCTCAACAATCTCCTCGACTGCCGCTGCTTCATGCGACAAGAAGTGCTTGTTTTGGTGTACCTGGCCGTTTACAAGGCCCTGGGCTGGTACGCGGCGATCCTTGGTGACGACGGTTCGTCCCAAGATATGGACCAATCACAGTTTTCGCTCTTTGGGCGCATAGCCATCACCACCTCGTTCGTCGGAAGTTACTGTCTGGATAATGAGGCGCAGCGACTTGTTGCCGCGCACCTAGTCCTGACGCACGTCCGCGAACACGTCGATCCTCTTATCAAGAGGTTGCGCCACTGGCACCCTTCGGCGGCCAGGCATAACTCGTTGCCGTCTACACCGTCTTGTCCCGATGCAACCACCTGTTCGATATCTTTCCCCGTCACCAAGGGACGCATGTCTAGTGTTATCGACCAACACCACCAGGCACTCCAGGAGGAACTTGAGAGAATAACATTCAAGGCAAACAGTATCAAACGTACATGATTTTCGTATTCAATTTTTTTCCGTTTGATTTTCTTAACTTTCATTTGTCTGCAACATCCGGGTGTTGGATAGGACATGGGGTTTTGGGTAATTTTACTACTTTACAGGTACTTTGTGTAACTTTCCGGTCCGTCACATTGAAGCGAAACACCAGAAGTGTAGAATTAGGTGTCACATCTTACGTTGGTATCAAACCAGCTTTCAGGCATTAGCAGCATTTACTGGCTTTTAGGCACAGCAGCGAATTAGATATACCCGCTATTAGGCACAGCATTTCTAGGATACCAGCGTTAGAGATACCCAGCTTTTAGGCTTACCAAGAGAAAGGGGTGAAAGCATCAAGCAATACATTACGGCCTTGACGATATTTGGACAATAATAAAAAACCATCTCTTCGATTCCATGTTCCTAAGGTCTTACTTATGTATCCAGATTGAACCCTAGATTGCCTCCTTGTATAATACATGGGACCCTAATAAGTGCGAAAATAACCCCTTTCAGCTATACGAACCTCTCGGTCAACGTCCCAGCGAAGCAATGATTTATCTGTCGTTACGGAAGATTTATAGGCATGATGATCCTCAAAAAAAACAAAACCCCCCCACTTCACTGACTCACGCCAAACTTATGTCAATGAGAGAAAGTTCCCCGAGCTCAGGGCGGAATACTGTCTTCACTTGGAGCTTAGGCGTCACCGCACTGCAGAGGTTCTCGAACGCAGTTCTTGTACGTTCGCGACCATTAAGGTTCATCAACATCAGCAGGTCCCGATCACTAAAGCTTGTCAATACGAGTTCTGTCAGGCTATGACAAATGAGGGGTGGAACTGACTGCATGCGACGTTCTCTCTCACGGCTCTCTTGTCCCGGTTCAGGGACCACGACATCGTTGATAATAATACGGTCCTGGGGTCTCAGAGATGACGCCAGACTCTGAAGAATGTTCTGAGCGTACTTGTCGCTCCAGTCGTGAAGGATAAAACGGCAGAAGTAGGCAATGCCTTCTCCATCAGCAACCTTGTGCTCAGGCTGAGGCTTCATGAAGTCGTGGGGACGGAAAGTGACGCGGCCCTTTAACTCCTCAGGGCAGGACTTGGCCCCGACTTCGACGGTCTCCGGCAAGTCTTGCACCTCGAAATGGAGCTTTGGGTACTTCTTGGCCAGAGCCATTGAAATGTGGCCAGGGCCACCACCAACATCAACAATGAGACGGATGTGGTCTTTTTCCAGCAAGTGCCACGGGTATCCGCCGTCAACAGCGTGACGAAGGTCGTAGGCACCGCCAACCGCAATGCCGCGCATGGCGCGGGCAAACATATCGTGCAGCTGCTGACCGTCTGCTTCGCGGAAGCGCTGGAACTGAGAAATCTTTCTGCCAATGGAGACTCCGTAGGCAGACTCGTTCGCCTCCATACTGTAGCCGTAGCTTTGCAGCGCTTTGGGGACAGAAGCGCCGGCCGGATAAGCAATGGTGGCACTCAGGTCCATCCATGCTTCCAGGTCAGGGTCTGTCACGAGAAGCGCAGACATGGCGTTGTGGGCGACGGTGCCGCCTGGCTGGGCCTCGAACAAGCCATAGGAAGACGTGTGCTGGAGAATACGCTCGACGAGGGCCGGTGTGACCTCGGGCTTGCCGACTGCCTCAGAAACGGCTGCGTATGTAATACTTCCTGCCAGTGGGATATGGCTGGCTAGCTTGTACTTGAGGGCAATTTGGAGAGAAGCTGTGGCGCAGTGCTCAAAGCTCAGAGTGATGAGTGTGTCTCTGGGTCCGCGAGCCAGACGAACAACACGTTCTGCGGCATCGACGATTGATGCCTTTGCTTGGAAATAGGGCGCGTTCTCGGGAGTGAGTTCGAGGCTGGGTGCGGCGGCCTCGGTGGAGAGCTTTTCAAGACCGCGATTGGAAAGAAACTTATTCAGCTCAGCCGAAGCTGATGACAGGGTTGCGACAAGCTCAGTGAGCTCGTCTTCGATAATACGGCTAGGCATCTTGATGGTTGGCGGGCGAGGTGATATCAACTAAGATTGATCTGATGACAAAAGCACAGGCTTCTGATTTGAGAATAATATGGGAAAAGTGCACGGTGTGATGTAACTCCAAGCCTGGCGGTTGGTGTTCTTTTAATGAGAGCCATTTAAGGCTGAATGTCAACCCGCACTATCGAAACTCACCGCATCGTTCTTTACACAACGCCGGCTTCCCGAGTTGCTTCACCGCGAGCCGGGCGTCTTCAGGTGTCATTCAAGAAGTCGATCTGGTGTAACGCCCTGTGAAGGTTCCAGACGCCAAGGCTGACAAAAAGCCCCGGAGGAAGACTCCGTTTTCCTTAGATCATGCCTGACGGGAGGTTGGAACAAGCTTGGACATGGGGTAAATGATCACCGACCGTTTCTGCTGTCATGAGTGGAGCCATTTAGGGTGCCATTTGCTAACCAAAGCTTATTAAATAGAGTTTGCGATAGCGGGACACGTCTTAATCGCCGGAATCAAAGACGCCGGCCCAGTTAACAACGTTCAGACGAATCTTTGTAACAGAACGGTATTCGTAAACCCAGTGTCTTGAGTTGAAACCCGATTACGTTTATGCAATTATCCATCTCGGAGTCTACATCGGTGTTGATGTCGGGTCTCGGGATTCTCTTCATCGAAGTGAAGTTGCCGGCTTCCTTTGATGAATTTGTCTATTCGTTCTCTACTCAATGATCCTGATTTCCATCAGCGCACTTAGCGTTCACTTCATTCATCATGATTGCGAGTTCGTTCAGAATATTGGTACAAGAAAATCAAGGTGGGCCGCTGACCACCTTATCTGGAAATATTTTGACATCCGATGAATGTGTGTCAAGCAGTCGTCTTTAATATTGAACCTTGTGCCGGTGGGAAGCTTCTCAGCTTTTTCAGCTCCGGATGTCTCTAGACAATCTAAAATGCGTAGAGCCCTTAACAGTCCGAAATGAGCAGTACGTAAGTAGTGTCTGTACTCGAAGTCAAAATTGTGCGAACTCCTAACCATAATTTGCACAACGACTCAACTATTCCGCGTGGATAAGCGAACCGACCACTGACAATACAGACATTGCCACAACATTATGCCTTGACAGTGCTGAACAATGAGTCCAAGATCGCGAGTGTGAACAGTTGATGCCGCCTTCAGGTGCCGACCTGCCGAGGTGATGCCTATTTGCTTTCTGACGCTGCATCACAGCTCGGAACATGACTCTTGATCCCAGGGTACAGCTCGGCAGACCTTTCTTGACTCTGAAGCGCTTCATATGAGTGATGTTTGCGCCACGATCACTGTTGAGAATAGTGGAGGAAATCGCTAATCATGCTTGAATCTACTAATCTCTCTCACTATCAATCTGTGGGTCTAAGGTCTTAGAAGCCTGTCCAGGCGTCACAATCTTCCAAAGAGCGAAGTCCAAACATCTTCTTCGAACCGACTTCACTCTGCAAAATGCTTCGTTGAGCACGTTTCCTCATTCCCTCCTCAAACGCCCCAATATCCTCAGCTGTAGGGGATCCCTGGGCCGCGGCAATTGTCTTCGCAAGACTGGAAGCATCGCAGATTGCCGTCTGCGCTCCGACCCCGCCACAGGGACTCATGGGATGAATAGCATCCCCGAGCAGGGTCGCCATGGCAGACGGTGACCATGAGGGGACGTTAGGCACAGAAGACACGACGCGAATCAGAGTCGCTTGCCTCGTATCCTGTTGTTCAAAGACTGACCGAATGGAGGAATGCCACTCTTGCGTGATGGACAAACTCAGACGAGCTGCCTCGGCCGCCGCTTGTGCAGAGGTTGAGCTGCTGACCTTGGACGTCGACGTCTCTCCGTCTAGGCGGAATCGAGCTTCGGGGCCAATGAGAGCCCAGTAAATGTAATCTGCGGGAAGCTGATGCTGAGACCGGCTCACCTCGCTGAAACGGATTGGCTCTAAAAGCAAAGTCACCGGCGCATCTCCGATGATGCAGGATTGCAGCATCGGTGTTTGGTCAGACACGATGGTCATCCATCTCATGCCCTTCTCGGGGAACTTCTCTAGGATCTCAGGTGTCATTGGAGTTTTCCCGTAGATACAGGCAGCTCCAGTGTCCCTGATTTTGTGGCTGGGAACGAGATTGCGACGCACAACTGAGTGCAGGCCGTCTGCACCAACAAGGAATCGGCCTTCTACTGTTTCACCATCCTTGAAAGTAACGGTAACAACGCCTTGATCAACATCTGCCTTGTAGGATGACAGCTCTTTGCTGAACTGGATTCGGTCCTCAATACCCGTCATCAGAGCAGTGCGGAAAGCAGCTCTGTCAACGCAGTAGCTGGGGTGAAGGCCAAGTCTTCCGCTCAACCCACCGCCAGAGCGACTGTTGACCACCAGACCGGTAAATGGGTTAAAGTCGGTTTCCCCGATAGCCAGGGTGGCGCATGATGTCTGAAAAGTCTGATAGACTTCCTCGGGCAAACTCTCGGCCAGTGCGACGGCAGCGTCTCTGCGAAGCTTGAGGCGGTATCCTTGGGGCCGCGAATCAACCGCGGGATCCCTTTCGAATACCCGGAAGGGAACGTTGTGCTTTTTCAGTGCCTGGGCCAAGCACAGACCGCTGATGCCAGCGCCCATGATCAGGACTGGCCGGCTTTCCGTCGCCGGCATAATGGGTTTCTTGATTTGGATGAAGTCGTTCGGGCTGCCGGGTGCGGAAGACTGAAGTTGGACGGTCAAAAGCCCCATGACACTGTCGTCAGGCTGACGCGAGTGTTCGATCTCCATCCCCACGTCATTGAGCAGATTCTTCCAGTTTTCTAACTCTCGCTCTCTAGCGTTGAAGACCTGCATCATCATGAGATCTCGAACTCTCAGCTGCTGCTCGTGCTGGAGAGTTGTTGATCCTGGGGGCGGGAGAATTGTGTCCATGATCACGATGCGGGCTTTAGGGTTTGCCTCGAGTGCAGTCCGAAGATTTTGCAAAATAATGCGAGCATCTCTATCAGGCCAGTCGTGGATGATCATGCGAAGGAAGTAGACGTGGGCATCCAAAACTGTTTGAGGCTTGAAAAAGTCTGAAGACATGAACTGGATGTGCGATTTGACTGCCGGATCGATGCTAGTGTCGGCATCAAATGCCCGCTGAGCAGTCGCAACTGTCTCTGGCAGATCTTGCACAATGTACTTCAAATGTGGGAATTTGGAGGCAACGTGGACCGCGAGCTGGCCGTGAGAACCGCCCACATCGACAACCTTTGCGCCCTCTGGCAGCGAGGCCCAGTCGAAACACTCTACGGCATGCGCTAAGCTCCAAGGCCGGGAGGCTGTGACATTGCGCATATAGCTCGAAAACACAGATGTGAGGTCTGGGTTCTTTCGAATGTGGTCAAAGAACGGATCTGTAGTATTCTCGGCAACGTTGAAAGCTGTCTGATTCTTGGCGTCCGTGTCGCCCCAGCGGCGAGTTGCTTCAGGGAACTTGTACGCGACTGGCATCGAGTAGTTCATCATCCAGCGGGCCCAGCTCATGAAATTCTCGTCGCGAACAAGCAAGGCCGACGACCGGCTGTGTGAGACGTGGCCGGATGTAGGCTCTTCCAGGAAACCGTTGAGCACAGCCATCCGAGCAACACCTTTGAGGTGCTTCTCGGGAACGCCCGCTTTGGCTGCCAACACCGCGTATGCAATCGAGCCGTCTTGAGGGAGGTGTTGTAGGACATCGAGATCCACAAGCCATCGGACGCAAGTTAACTCTTGGTACTGTGGAAAGTAATTGTTAGTTGCGAATGTTAATCGCAAAGGATGGTATAGATGCTTACCTCATTGGCCAGGTGGTCAAGGTACTCTTCAGGCATAGTCGCCAGTTGGAGAAGTTTCATTGCCGACTCCATGAGCTTTTTGCGAGGATTATGAACAGCCTTCGACTTGTCCTCGAAAGGACTGGCCGCAATCGATCCATTGTCTGATTGACGGAGAAGCTCAGCTCCGTGAGACGCAATCGAGTCCAGTGAACTCCTCAGTCTCTGATAGAAGTCCATTGCAACGAGTGTAATATGAGGGGCACTGACTGACGGGATAAATTGTGGCAAAGGGATGCGGGAAGACTACCAATTCATCACACATCACTCGCGAGGAATTGGACGATTTACATTTTAAGGCAGCCTCCAACTTCTAGGCTCGGGTGGTTTGACGATTTACGAAGTGTGGTGTTTGGATTCAATTGCTCTGTGCCAAGAAAAAGCTTCCCGAGACAGCTGCCCAAAGCGATCCGCGGATCGCTAATCAATCTAGTTGTGTGTGCGAGTCCGAGCTGTTTGGGTGGCTCGGGGTATACTTACCGTCATTTTGACGGTGAACGAAGATCTACCAATCGTGTAGAGCCAATTACCGGTAAAAGTGGAACCCGTAGGGGCAGGTTCCCGAGGTCGTCCTGACAGTGAAACTCGCGAATGCCAAACTTCAATTCCCCGGTCAGCAAAAGTTTGAGAGCTTACAATGGGTAGAATAGTTTCTGACTGTCGGAGATCATGTTGTCGGAGCTTTTTTACTTGAGCGAGGCCAAATCGGGCATACTCCTGCTGAGCCAGAGTCTCCTTTCATGGCTTGCCGCTTGCCGAAGCCCTAGACAACAATGTTGTTTGTAGAAGTCACTAGACATAGCAAATTCCTAGTGAAGAGGAAATCAGCGAAGTTAGTTGGTAGAATGATTTGGCCAGTAAGTCGGGTTTTGAAACTACCCGTGGAGAGAAGCTGGTCTATAGCGAGGGAGGAGCCTATACCGGCTTTACATCGGAGAATGTTCAGCGTGCTGTGAGGAAAGCCTCGAGTCAGTTCAGTTTACCTTTCTTTGACAGATTACTTGCGTCTTGCATGGTATGGAAAACGTGAAAATTGAGTTGGGTGATGTAATCCACACGTGTAGAGAAAGTTGAGTTTGGCGCTTCTTTCGACTGAACAACGATCCAGAAGATTTACTAGTCGATTTCGATCCAGGTCGACTAGG